GAAAAATGTTCATATTTTTAATTCTTTGCCTTTTTACCTGTAACTAATGTGTCTCCATATAAGGCTTTGAACTCGTTGAATCTGCTTCCATCCACGATTCTAGCAATGACCTAAGAAGAAAAATAACAATGTCCCGGGGAGATTATATTACAAAAGAATTTTTACATTAAAGTTATTCATAAGGAAAACAAGTTCAGCGTTAAGTTGTCACTTTCACAGAATTTCACCCTACAGAGCGAGCCTTCGCAGCAGAATTCCACTTTGTGTGCAGGGGGAAGGCCCTGACGTCACTCTGGACCCTGGTTTCATACCACACTGTAAGAGCCACAGCACCATGGTACAGACCAGAAAAGCAGAGAGACTGTGAGGGCTGGAAGCTGGACTCAGAGCTTCAGGAGCTGCTCAAAAGTATTGGCAAAGGGTCAGGGATTCAATCACAAAGCATGATATAGGCTCAGAGTCAGGAGACTTAGCCTCCCAACAAAGGGATCGCACAGGATTTGCATGTCCCGGATAAAGTCTCAGTTCTCACTTTTGCAAAGTTGGGACAAAGTTGTGAGTATGTGATGAACCCAAAAAAATAATGCTGAGATGAAGACCCAGCTATGACTCCCAGGTCTACTGCTGAGAAACTAGAGTCATAAGCTGGTTACCTAAAATCCTAAGCCCCAGTTTTTTCATCTGATTAAAAAAAAAAAAAAAGATAAGGGGAACCCTCTTGCACCACTGATGGGAATGCAAACTGGTGCAGCCACTCTGGAAAACAGTATGGAGCTTCCTCAAAAAGTTAAAAAAAAAAATGAACTACCCTACAACCCAGCAATTGCACTACTAGGTATTTACCCCAAGGATACAAAAACACTGATTCAGAGGGATACATGCACCCTGATGTTTATAGCAGCATTATCTACAGTAGCCAAACTATGGAGGGAGCCCAAATGTCCATCGACTGATGAATGGATAAAGATGTGATACACACACACACACACACACACACACACAGGAATATTACTCAGCCATCAAAAATAATGAAATATTGCCATTTGCCACAACGTGGATGGAGCTAGAGTGTATTATGCTAAGTGAATTAGTCAGAGAAAGACAAATATTATATGACTTCACTTAAATGAGGAATTTAAGAAACAAAACAGATGAACATGGGGGGGGGGGAAGAGAGGGAAACAAACCATAAGAGACTCTTAACAACAGAGAGAACAAACTGAGGGTTGATGGAGGGAGATGGGTTGGGGGATGGACCAGAGGGGTGATGGGGATTAAGGAGGGCATTTGTGATGAACACTGGGTATTGTAGGGAAGTGATGAAACATTGGATTCTACACCTGAAACTAATATTGCACTGTGTGTTAACTAGCTGGAATTTAAATCAAAACCTAAAAAGTTAAAAAAAAAAAAAGAAGATAATACTTAAAAAGTGCTAACTAAAGCACACTGCCTAGCCCTCACTGAAAAGCAGCTATTATTATTAAGACTTCAATAAAGGTTCCTTGATTCTGAATCTGATCCCACATATATACATATTTAATCTAAAAGGAGTAATTACTAAATAGTTTATCCTTGGGATTCATCATATACATCAAGACTATTTCAAAGAGTTCCAAACATATTCCAAATTTCTTCAGAAACTATTTTAGATGATACACACCATTCTTCTTTCTAGTCCAAACTTCCTTTTTCCTGTTTACCACATCAAAGCCTTGTTTTGTAACATGCAAAGGCTGAAAAATGAGTGAATGCTTCCCAGTATCATTCTTTCCAAAAATTAAGAGCATACTTGGAATTATTTTTTATTTTCCTAAAAGGTCCGATAATGTAATGGGAATATAAGTTATCTGTTCTAAATGCTATGTAGCTCCAAAACTGTACCTTCTAAAACACAATCAACACACAACAACCACCATTCTTTCACACAAAAATAAAGCCCCTCAAAGAGCACAGCAAACTAGGGCCACTTAGTATGAAGCTATCTCCTATCTGCTTTACGACGACCACCACCCAGCCACATAAGACATATTAACTCATCTTCACAAAGACTCACACTTCAGGAAGCAGACATATCATTTGGTACTATGGCTATTTCTAGAAGTGGAAAGCGATACTCAGAGAGGTCCAATCCAGTACCACTGACGAGGGAAACAAGGACTACAAGCCAGATTTTCCAATGAACATTCCGGTGCTGTCCCCTAGCTCCATATACTAGTAAGACCTCCATATAAGACTTACTTGCAATTAGAGAAAAGCATAATACATGATCATCACAATGATGAATCTGAATCAGCAAAAGGTAGAAAGTCCAGGAAACTATTTAAGAAGGTAAAAGTCTATCTTTATAAAAAGACCTCCATTTAAATGAAATGGAACTATCATGAAGGCATGGATGTGCATCTGCTTCACTCATTTCTGTACCCTTGGTGCCTCAAACAGCATCTTCAGAGAGCAAGCATTCAATAAACACTGTTGAATAGATGAAAAAAAGTGGTTATGTTTAACAGGATGAATTCTTAGCCATCTAGAACACTTGGCTATCCACAACAACTCATTTCTCAAGCATATCAGATTGTTAAGTATCAAATTTTATATGCCTGTAATTAATGAAAAAGGCAAGCTAAAATCCTAATTCTATAACTTATAGTTAACCAAGTCACCTTGCTAAAGTGAAATACCAGTTGGAGTTCCATAAAAATCCAGAATGTTAAGACCCTCTAATATAGGGTATTGCCTCAATAAATAACTGTGCACATCGACAGGTGGGATAGTACATTCATCAATTCATTCAAAAAAATATTTACTGAGGGACACTGGGTTAAGCCTTCAGCTCAGGTCACGATCCCAGAGTCCTGGGATCGAGTCCCGCCTTGGGCTCCTTGCTCAGCGGGGAGCCTGCTTCTCCCTCTGCCTGCTGCTCCCCCCGCCTGTGCGTGCGTGCTCTCTCTCTCTGACAAATAAATAAAATCTTTAAAATATATATATATATTTACTGAGTGCCTACCATGTCACCAGGTATTATTATAGCAAATAGGACCTAGCCATGGAAATGGTTTCAAGAAGAACTTATAAATATTGGAGAAATGTTTGTAATTTAAACCGGAGAATTTTAAAAATATACATGTGTATGTTTGCATGTACAGACGATCACAGCTACATAAAAATGTATATACATATATATACAAATTACATTAAGCTGAAACACCAAAATATTCACTGCTTTCTCTGGATGGTAGAATTATAAGCAATCTTCTGTTTTTCTGCATTTTCTACAATTTTTCACAATTAGCACACAATAGTTTTGTAGTCAAAAGGAAAACTAACAAATATGAAGGCAGAGAAACTGACAGTAAGGTTATTTCTTAATTTAAAAAGTATTCTGTCATATATGGATAGTGAACAAAATAAGACTACATGCTATATGCAAGCACTAAAAATTATCAATCTAGACCAAAGAAGACCATGTCAGCAATCTGTAACCATAGCAACATCTTCGAATGTAATCAAAAGTCTAATCTCAGCTAAGGTCATATTGATCTAAAAGGGTATGTTTTTTCCTTTCACAACGTACTGACATTTCCTCCACTTCCCAAAATAAGAGCACTAAAAAGAAATAGATGAAATTTATGAAGTTGCCTACGTCATTCCTAATGTCCACAGGAATAGGCAGTCCTATTTATGAACAAAGCAAGCTCCATCATTGTGCAATGAAAACTTTCCAACCATTAAGAGGTTTTTATCCCCCTCTCCCTTCTAGTAAGAGATCTTTCCCTTTTATGTCACACCCTACTGAAATCCACAAGAGGCTCTAGGCAGGAAGGTATCTGAACAGATTTCACCTTAAAAATGGATACACTCTTAACTCTAGGAAACAAACTGAGATTGCTGGATGGGAGGGGGGTGGGGGGATGGGGTAACTGGGTGATGGGCATTAAGGAGGGCACGTGATGTAATGAGCACTGAGTATTATATAAGACTGATGAATCACTGACCACTACCTCTGAAACCAATAAATATTAATTAATTGAATTTAAATTTAAAAAATAAACTTTAAAAAATGGATACACATACAACGAGACTGACAGCATGGTTTATAGCTCACAGCCCCACTCTACACACCTCTCGAATATCAAAGTGCCTCTTAAGGTTAGTACCAACTATTCCATACAATTCATCAGCAGGAAATAAAGGATCTTCAGAAGGTTCTACAGTAACCTGCAGAAATATAAAAGAACCATATTAACCTATTTAAAGATATCATTCAAGGTTACATAAGCCAAAATGCTTTTGAAGAAAATAAAAGATGTAAGAACATAACCAACTCACATCCAATTTCTTCTGATAATTTAAATTCCTCACAATCATCCTAGTTAGGTGAAGGGCATGATGATCATCCAAAGCGTAGTAGTCGGATACTCCAGACTTTCTACAGAGTAAAGCACACTAAAATAATCAGAACAGGGAAAAGGAAAATAAATATCTTAAACCCTAAAGATCTTCTCTCATCTAAGGATGACATCATTTTTACTTCCAAAATACTTTAATCAATGTCATCCAACTTGATTCTCATAATGTCCCCAGAAGAACAGTATTATCCTTATTTTACAAACAGGAAAAACTGAGGTCTACCTATATTAAGTACCCTGCCCTAGGACCACCAGTAGCTGTATAAGTATCCACATGTTCTATTTCTCAATCTTGACCTTCTTCTACTGGACCAGAGAGCCTTGCTGATGAGGACTTCTATTTAATGCTCATCCCATGCACCTCAAACAAAACTGTATATGATAAAGTTCAACAACCGCAGATGTAGTCCATAACAACGAAGTGTCTGTAACTCACTGAGGTCCTAATGAAGATGCCAACTATTGCAGGGAGACGGCTGAGGCCCCAACCTTACAAAGTCACACCTTAAGAGTAAGCATGACGACTCTGTCCCTCAGATCAATGGGAAAAATTAGTATTGATAAAACATATAAGGGCCACAGAAGTTCCTGCTCAATCTCAAGTTCAATGTGAATGAAGCATGGGCTTCCTCTGTTTATTAGCTTTGTTCTGATTAGATGGCTTTTTATCTCATATGTAGATATACTCATTCTAGAATATAGTATTTAAAAAAAACTGTGCCTGGGTGGTGCAGCTGGTTGAGCCTTGGACTCTTGGTTTTAGCTCAGGTCGTGACCGTGGGATTGAGCCCCGCAATGGGCTCCACGCTCAGCAGAGAGTCTGTTTAGGACTCTCTCTCCCTCTGCCCCTTCCCCCTTTGTGCGCGCATGCACATGCATGCTCACTCTCTCTCTCTCTAAAATCAATCAATCAATCAATCAATAACTGTAGGGATGCTTGACTGGCTCAGTCGGTGGAGCGTGGAACTCTTGATCTCAGGGTTGTAAGTTCGAGCCCTACGATGGGTGTAAAGATTGCTTAAAAATAAAAATTTTTTAAAAATAAATAAATAAAATAACTATAAAGACAGACAAAAATATGTACCTGAAGAAAAGAGAATTTTGGTTCATTTTATGAGTAAGGGCTAATCTGCTGCAATCTAAATTGTGATGTCTTGTCTAGGGAAAATGCCAAACCCTTAGCAGGTATTTCTTAGAACTGGGTTCTCAGGGTGGTTTCAGGGCACTCTCCACCTCTGGATTGGCTATTTCTAAATGAGAATAGAGACCGTATTTACTCCTTGCTATAGCCCCGCAACACTTCGCAAATGGTAGACCCTTCAGTTTTTTTTAACTTAATATGACATTTTATAACTAACCATATCTTTGAAATGCTTCATACATCATACCAGCTATAACTGCTGACCTCTAGCTACACTGCAGTAATTCAGAAAGCAAAAAGAAGCAGAAGGAACTACTTCCAAATCAGTAAATATTTAAAATAAAATGCTTTCTTTTTTTTGTTTTAAAGATTTTATTTATTTATTTGACAGAGAGAGGCACAGCCAGAGAGGGAACACAAGCAGGGGGAGTGGGAGAGGGAGAAGCAGGCTTC